GCGGGGCGGTTTTACTGCGGTGTGCTGTGCGGACTTTCCCTGGCTAGGGACCTCTAGAGACTGAACATAGCTGCTCTGTGTCTAAACAAATATATTCAAATATGTCAATAAAGTTATCGTTCATAATATACGAATTCATTCAGGAATATTACTCAGTTCATAGTACTTTTTGTCATTTCAGTTAGTCTCATATTAATTGATATTAAAATTGTATGATCATGTAGGGATTTTCCAATGTTTTAAAGTTATAAACAGTCTTCCAAAGGGGAAGGAACAAAAGGGAATGCACAAAATGAGAGGAAGGTGGCTGTGCTGATTTTGTTGACAGTTATCTTCTCTGACAAGTGGCGACAGTTACTGCCCATAAGGGACAGTAGTAATGAGTAGGGGGATTAGGCGTTGGTTGAAAAGAGTAGGAACTGGAAAAATGAAAAGTTGCCGTTTCTCTTCTTGCTGTCCTTACAGCTACCCGGTGGAGCGGGGTCTCATCACTTCCTGGGGGGATATGGAAGTCGTGTGGAAGCACATCTACGACTACAACCTGGCGCTTAAGCCGAGTGACAGCCCCGTCCTGATCACTGAGCCAGCGCTGAACCCCCTGGCCAATCGGCAGCAGATCACCGAGGTGTTTTTTGAGCATCTGGGGGTTCCCGCCTTCTACATGTCCATCCAAGCCGTGCTGGCTCTCTTTTCTGCTGGCTTCACTACTGGCCTTGTGCTGAATTCGGGTGCTGGGGTTACCCAGTGTGTGCCCATCTTTGAGGGGTACTGTCTGCCTCATGGTGTCCAGCAACTAGATCTAGCAGGCCTTGACCTCACCAGCTACCTCATGGCCCTGCTGAAGAACCGCGGTATCTTGCTGCTCAGTGCTGCAGACAGAAAGACTGTTGTGGACATCAAGGAGACCTTTTGCTACGTGGCAATGAACTATGAAGAGGAAATGGCCAAGAAACCTGAACTGATACAGAAAATTTACAAACTACCTGATGGGAAGATCCTCAGGCTCCAGGACGAGCTCTTTTCTTGCCCAGAGGCCCTCTTCTCTCCACGGCTCATGAGCCTTGAGGCCCCGGGCATAGATAAGATGTGCCTCCATAGCATAATGAAATGTGATACAGATCTGAGGAATTCCTTCTTCTCCAACATTCTCCTTGCTGGGGGATCAACCTCTTTTCCTAGTTTTGACAGGAGGCTAGTTAAGGATATAGCAAAGGTGGCTCCTGCCAACACCCCAGTGCAGGTTACAGCGCCCCCAGAAAGGAAGATATCAGCATGGATGGGAGGATCTATTCTAGCATCCCTGTCTGCCTTCCAAGACATGTGGATCACTGCTGCAGAATTTAAAGAAGTCGGACCCAACATAGTACACCAAAGATGCTTCTGAAGTACAGATGAACTGGTTAGAAAAAAATGTTTTGAGTATATGTGACAGAAAGCTTTGGATAGTATATGTTTCTGGGAGAACAGAAAATACTTCAGTTATTGGGATGTACATGTTTCTGTTGGTTTTTTTTAATAATGGGAGGGATAATAGTGATGCAACAGTCAAACAACAGGTGATTATTGAATAGCATCAAGTTAAATATTTTAACCAAGTTAAGACAGGGTTTCCTACAGTGTTTTCTTCTACAAGTTGACCTTGGAGAGCTTACATTTCCCTTGGAGAGAGCACACATGGTGGCATGTATGCTATGTGCCAAATGAGTGATTGAAGCATAGTGAAGTTTAGGGAAAGAAGGTTGCTGCTGTGAGGAAGGACTTCATAACAAAGGCATGTCATCATGGATGGGGTGGCATTCAGGTGGGCAGGGAGGGCAGGCACCAAGGGAGCATAATGAGCCAGGGCTACAGATGAGAATGAACAAAGCATATTCAAGGCATTTAAAAAAAAAAAGATTTCTTTTTCGATACAGAGTTATACTCTGTTGTTCAGGCTAGACTGCAACAGCTTAGCACACAGCATCCTCAAACTCTTGGGTTCAAGCTATCCTCCTGCCACAGCCTTCCAGAGTGCTAGGATTACAGGCATGTGCCACCTTTATAACTGGTTTTGTTACAGTGAAGAGCTATATGAAGCAGAGCAAGTACTAGTAGGTAAATTAAAGTCAGGGACTGAAATTGAAAGTCTTAAGTGCTTGCTAAATGTCCTACATGCAAAGGGGAACAGTTAAGACTTTAAAAACAGATGGACTGGCTCCATGCCCATAGCACAGTGGTTATGGCGCCAGCCACATACACTAAGGGCCAGCTAAACAACAATGACAACTGCAACAAAAAATAGCTGGTGTTGTGGTGGGCACCTGTAGTCCCAGCTACTTGAGAGGCAGAGGCAAGGGAATAGCTTGAGCCCAAGAGTTTGAAGTTACTGTGAGCTGTGATGCCACACCACTCAGCCGAGGGTGACATAGTGAGACTCTGTCTCAAAAATAAAAAAATAACAACAACAAAAAACAGATGTACTGAAATTGTTATGATAAATGTGGTGGTAGTTTGGAGAATAAATTGAATTGGGGAGACCCTGGAAATTTGTTGGTCAGGTAGAAAGTTAATAGTCCAGGCTGGGCCTGGTGGCTCACACCTGTAATCCCAGCATTCTGGGAGGCCAACACTGTCTTTAAAAAAAAAAAAAAAAGGTGAGGCCAGGCACAGTGGCTCATGCCTATAACCCTAGCACTCTAGGAGGCAGAGGAGGATGGATTGCCTGAGCTCATGAGTGCCTAGGTCAGCCTGAGCAAGAGCGAGACCCACTGTCTCTAAAATTAGATGGGTATTGTGGCGGGTGCCTGTATTCTCAGCTACTTGGAAGGCTGAGGCAAGAGAATCACTTGAGCCCAAAAGTTTGAGGTTGCTGTGAGCTATAACGCCATGGTACTCTACCGAGGGTGACAAAAAAAAAAAAAAAGTTGATAGTCCATAGTCCAGAAATAAAATAGTCAGGTCTCATACTCAATATTTTAAGCAATAAGAATTAAAAAGAAATCATGAAAAACTGACAAGTCTTGGCTCAGAGCTTGTAGCACAGTGGTTATGGTGCCAGCCATCTACATCGAGGGTGGCAGGTTTGAACCTGGCCCGAGCCAACTAAACAACTGCAACCAAAATATAGGCGAGTGTTGTGGTAGGCGCCTGTAGTCCCAGCTACTTGGGAGGCTGAGGCAAGAGAATTGATTAAGCCCAAGAGTTTGAGGTTGCTGTGAGCTGTGAAGCCACAGCACTCTACTGAGGGTGACTTAGTGGAACTCTGTCTCAAGAAAAAAAAAAAACACCTGACAGGACTACGTGCCTAATTAGATGGACATAAAGGGGAAGGAAGGGTCTGAGATGATGTGGGAAGCTGAGGGGATGACATATAACTCAAAGTATTTAGTATCTGCTGTACGTAATGTAGTGTGGAAAGTGCAGCAGGAGTCAGATCCTGTCCTTAAAAAGCCAGCAGTCTAGTAGAAGAGGTGGAATCTTACTGAAGTTACAATACTATACAGTAGAAGTTGATTGAGTGTCTTAAGAGAAATATAAAACGTGCTGGGGGTCCACAAAAGGGTCCAATATCAGTTGAGGGCACAAGGAAGAATTTTGGTAGATGTGGCTAGAATTTAAACCTAATGAAGTGGGCAGCGCCTGTGACACGGTGAGTAGGGTGCTAGCCCCATATACCGAGGGTGGTGGGTTTGAACCCGGCCCGGTCAAACTGCAACAAAAAAATAGCCAGGCGTTGTGGCAGACACTGGTAGTCCCAGCTACTTGGGAGGCTGAGGCCAGAGAATTGCCTACGCCCAAGAGCTGGAGGTTGCTGTGAGCTGTGATGCCACATGCAACAGAGACTTTGTCTCTAAAAAATAAAACCAAACCTAATCAAGTATCTGTCTCTCTAGATATATGTGGGTTTAGATTCAGACCCTGTCACCAGCTGCAGGATGTAAGCAAATTGTTTATATTTGAGCAAGTATCCCTCTATCATCCTGGCATCCATGGATGGCATCAGCCTAGCAAGCTCAAACTCCTAGGCTCAAGTGATTCTCCTGCCTCAGGCTCCCAAGTAGCTGGAACTAGAGGCATTTTAGACAACATCTGGCTTATTTTTTCTATTATTTATTTATTTGCAATTTTTGGATGGGGCCGGGTTTGAACCCACCACCTCCAGCATATGGGGCTGGCGCCCTACTCCTTGAGCAACAGGCACCACCCTATTTTTTCTATTTTTAATAGAGATGGGTTCTTGACTTGGCACCTATAGCTGAAGTGGCCAAGGTGCCAGCCACATACACCAGAGCTGGTGGGTTCCAATCCAGCCTGGGCCTGTCAAACAACAATGACAAAAAATAGCCAGGGGTTGTGGCGGGTGCCTGTAGTCCCAGCTACTTGAGAGACTGAGGCAAGAGAATCGCTTAAGTCCAGGAGTTGGAGGTTGCTCTGAGCTGTGATGCCACCGTACTCTACCCATGGCAACAGCTTGAGGCTTTGTCTCAAAAAATAAAAAAATAAAAAAAGAGATGGGGGTGTTACTTTTGCTCAGGCTGGTCTCAAACTCCTGAGCTCAAGCAGTCCTCCCACCTCAGCCTCCCAAGAGCATTGGGATTTCAGGTGTAAACAAACTTACCTGCCCCTTGTTTAAACATATTAATTGCCTCATTCAGAAAATGGGGTTGCCCGTCCCTGTCTGTCTCACAGGGTCATTATGAAGTTCAATGAGATAATGCACATGAGGGCATTTTCAAAATACATTATTTTTAAAGAAAACTTAGAGGTCCAATTCGGATACTGTTTCCTGCAACGCATCAAAATTATTCATTCCTTTGTGTGTCTGCACATTTTATCATGCATACTTCTGCTGACCACTTATGACCACTTACCATTTATGCAGAATTATGTTTTGGTTTGCTTGTCCTTCTTCCTCAATAGATATGTTCTTAGAAGACAAAAGATTAGGGGCTTTCTTCTTTCTGTCTCCGTCTCTGATGTCTTTGATGGTACGCTTCCTGTAGGTATATATGTATAATAGAATTATAGAATTGACCAGAAGGACATTCCTGGCAGAGGAAACTGATTTCATTCCTTGACAGGGAGTTTCCCATTTTAGTGATTGTAATCAGGATTAGATTGGCCAAGGTATAGACATCTGAGGGCAGTTTTCAACAGTTGATGATCACTCACACCTTGGAAAGAATTATCCCAATCTCTCATTTTAGAATCTTAAGGGATTTTTTAAAATAAAATAAGATTAACCATATATTGTCTAATATAAACTTCAACGTCCCAGAGAAATAGGCAAGACAAGTATTATTCCCATTTACAAATTAAGAAATTGTGATGTAAAGAGGTTAATAGAAGTGTTTTAAAGTGGTCCCTAAGTAGCTTGCTCGGAGGTAAGGCAGTCTCTAACCATAGGCCTCGGGCAGTTAACCCAGCAGCTAGCCTGGAGTGTTCTGAATACAAGGAGTTAAAGAGTTTCCAGTAATCTAGGGAAAGACAATAAAATGTGAAAATTCCGTTTAGTTGTACTTTCCCTGCCCTTACAATCTTCGTGAAGCAACCCACATTAGCATTTTACCTTTCTTACTGGCCATTATAAACTTCCGCTACCATTTACCCAATCACTACACAGCGCGACTGTGAAAGTCTGTGATTGAAAAATCTCTTTTTGTAATAAAAGGGAGCCGGTCCTTGACGTTGAGAATGAATAGGTTGCTAGTAAAACTCATCCCCAGTTCGAGGAGGGCTGAGGGGGGGGGGGGCAAGGTGGGAAGGAGCAGCCACTGGAGTCTCCGGACATCCCGGTGTGGTCGGCGCTGCCCGTCGCGGTCAGACCGGGAACCAACGCTCTATGTCCTCGGCTCCTACGAGTTTCTGGGGCCAAATTCTCTTTCTTTTAAAGTGTCATGTGTCATTATGACTGGCTTGTAGGGGACACAAAAGCCCCCTGAAGCGAAGCAGGTCCGGGAGCGTTCCCCGACGCGCGATAGGGACGGAGTTCAGACTCCCGGCCGGAGGTGAAACTTTAAAAGAAAAAATAAAAAAAACGTGCGCGTGCGTGCGTGTGTGTGTGTGTGTGTGTGTGTGTGTTGGAGGGGGCGGGGACAGACTCTCGCGAGAGCCGTGACTGGCTGCCTCGACCAACCCGCGCGGTGGGCGGTGCCCTTAAAAGGCGTGCGCGCGTGCGCGCGGCGGGCTGCGGAGGGAGGGCCGGGAGGGGCGGCCATCTTCTTCCTAACCCTAAGTGAGAAAGGCATAGGCGCCGCGCTTTTGGTCCCCGCGCGCTGTTTTTCTCGCTGACTTTCAGCGCGCGGAAAAGCCTTGGCCTACTGCCGTCCACCGTCCAGTCTTGAGCAAACAAAAAATGTCAGCCGCTGGCCGAGCACCCCTCCCGGGACCTGCGGCAGCCCGTCCGCCCGCCCGGCCCCCGAGCCCTGCCTGGAGGCCGCGGCCAGCCCG